TTTTATGACGTCACCAATTCGTGTGTAGGTACTGCTTCTAGATCTGTGCCATTAATTGTTTATGGGATATTACTTAGGTTGGAGCATGGAAGGTAATACCTTCCATGGTTGGAGAGGGGGTGTGATGTCAATATCACAACTGCGCATGCACATTGAGAGGGGGGATGGAGGGGAAGGGGGGGGGCTAACACAACAACAAATACATGTGTGTATTACGTATCGATATAATGACAAACACTGAAACTGAAATTTTTTTTTAATTTTTTCATTTATTTATTAATTTTCATACATGATACTATTATACAGAGAATTTTGAGAATTACAATTAAAATAGATATATAGTAGATAATATTTTGTAATTTTCAAATTACATTTGCCACCATTCTCATCTGGTGCATTAGTGTAGAGCATGTAGCAAAGTGAGCACCCCCTAATGGCTACTGTAAAATGACTAATTTTCACTGGGTTTAAATTTCACTGATTTACCATTTCAGGCATATTCAGTGGGTTTTAAATTCACGGTTTTATCATTTACATAATGTGTTCTATGCTCAATTTTACATATTCACTGGGTTTTAATTTAGTGCATTTTCAAGTCAGCGAAATAAGCAAAAATTACAGTACCTTGCCTCTCAAATTAGATTACCCATGATGCACCAGTACAATCCTAGGGGATAGTGGAATTGTAGGTTGTACGTTGGTTTACATTCCTTCTATTCTCGGGGGTGGACATCTGGGTATTTTCAGCGCCTGGCAATCATCACCGGTGGAAACAAAGGCCGAAAACTCATAGAAGGCTATACTATATTATTAAGTTATTCAGACTTTTCTGAACAGGACAACAAGACAACCCGAGCAATGTCCAAGCAACATTAATGATGTAGTTCTGCCCCCTGAGAATATACTAGTCTGTTTGTTTGAGATGTGAATTGCATAGCTACCTGGAAGTATGTGAAAGTTGTTTCATAGACGTGCATGTTAATAAAATGTTTGCCTTTTTTTATTTGGACTATTATTAATATTTAAATCTTTATAAACGTTTACGATATGCATAAATTTTGTGCTAGTACAAAACAGATTGTGAAAATTCCATTTTTGATCGCTTTTTACCTTCCCTGTACCATCAAAGATGGTATATTAAGGGAAAGATTTTTGTCCAGCGTTGTCGGCGTTGTCGTTGTCGTTAAAAATTGTTATTGTGTGCATGATAACTTTAATTCTATTCCAAACTTGGTCAACTTATTCATTAGTATAAAGTCTTTCCTGAGTTTGAACAACAGATGTCCTGTATGAAAATATCATGCAAAAATTGAGAAAATCTGATAAAATATTTTGACTGTTTTTACTTGACTGATCACTGGTGATACACATCAAAGGTCACTGATCTCAGTGGAAATGTGCATTGTTGTATGTGTTCAATGAAGCAAATCATTTATCTTGTAATAATATCCTTGGTAATGTATCTCCCAAATCCCATGGGAATACTATACTGGGTTTCAAAACCAACTCATGGAAAAGATTTTTGCACAGTTTGATACACATTTGCAAACCTACCAATAAAATCTTTACAGGAAACAAGATGTCAGAAAATCTATATAAGCACTCCTATGAACTGGGTGCAAAACTTTGATCAAGATGTGAAGCTATTTAGTTCAAAGTTATCAAATCAAAAACAATACATAAAAAATACATAAAAAGCAAAACGTTGCATTTACATTTAAAAAGAAAATTGTACTAAAATATATGTATTCTGTATTTGACAAACAGTTCATTCGACAAATGAAAATTCACAGGAATTTGTTTCAGCTAATAGAACAGAATGATAGAGCTTTTATAATACTAATTTTAAAACGCACTTCAAAAACAAAGATTGCAGTGTTTGAAGATGTAGATTCTCAGGAGGCAACAGTACTGCTGACTCCTCTCTCCACTGGACACCAACTAACTATTTAAAGTGCCTGTGCAATGCCCACCCTCACGTTTCCCATTTTAGATCTGTGTTCCACTGAAATGGGCGAATATTGATTTTTTTGCTGAAAATGATTACTCGTATCCAAGTAAATTTGGGACATTTCTCGTGTTGTAGCCACGCCCACCTATTCTGAAACGGTCGACTGTTTCCGGATTTCCGACTCTCGCCGAAAGTGCGTCACCAAAGGCCAAAATGTGAGAGGAAGTCATACCGTAATAACACTGGTCATTCAGTATACTTTTAAACGATATACAATTTTCGGTCGGCGTTTTTTTTTTTCTTTTTTTTGTCTATTTTTTTTTTTTTTTTTTTTTGAGAGAGAGAGTTTTTAGATGTTGTGTTATGGGCAGTTGCAGTGAAACGTATAGTCATAGTGTAAGTACATGTATTCACACGTTTCTAATCGATCCGAAAGTGCGACATCAGTGGACGAAAGCCACTTAACCTCAGCTTCTTTTTTTGGAAAATCCGTCCTCGTCCATGAAAAAAACAACTAGGTTTAAAGAGAAACGCCGACAACATTAACCTGGCGCAACACTTTTGAAAGAAATAGATTACGCACCAGCCGATGATCACCAAGGCTGATTTCAGAAGACAGAGAGAGACGACAAGTGTTTCGAATGAGTTGACTTTTTTTGCGATCCTGATTATCGTTTTATAGAGACCATTTAGTCGCTGTTAAGTAAAGAGTAGCAATAATTTTGACAGTGACACGAAAACGTAGCCTCGGACAAACAGGAAATTACACAGCCCTTACACACTGCTAATTGTTTTCATTTTCGAAGGCTAAAAGTTTCTGAATCGTTAAGTGATTGGTGTTGAATGTCGAATTCACACCTCTGTTCTTTTTTTACCTCCATGCTTGCAACTTGATCTGCGTAATATTTTCTGAAATAAGAATCCGGCCTTGGTCAATGTGTTTCCACCAAATAAAGTTGTAATATGATGTTATAATTATGACAATCACGCCATGGATCAAGCTAACTCGAATCCACTCTGAATTTATCTGTATGTGTGTCGATTTCGATTATTTTTGTTATCCAATTAAACACCGCTTTTAACGCACTTGCCCTCGCCGTGACCTGACGCGTTCACCTATTTCAACAAAATGTCAATTTATTTCTACGTGGCTGTCATTTATTTAGTAACTGTGATTTGTCGTTTTTTTAATTATTTTATAGTGATCACTATAGTCTAATGTTTAGAATGTCAAAATATGTTCTATTTTATTTTAATTTTGAAAGTTTCACTCAGACGATTGATGAAATAAAACAG